ATGCAAGAGAAGAGTCCGCATTGCTGCTTAAACGAAGTAAACATGAATACCTTACTTTATGAACTCAAAGAAGTGTTATTCAGGCAAACATATATTTTCCTCTACTCGGATTTTTTTATTAGAACAGATTCAATGGCGATACTTTATATCCATTATTAAAATCTAGCAACCAAAATATCCCTGCCACAGCAAACCTGCGGACTCAGTGAATTGCCATATGCCTGATAAAAGATATTTCCTTAAAGATTTAAGATTTATTTCCGACTTGAAACATTATGTTTAAACGAGTACTTAGGCTTGCTGCTTAAGGAAAAGATAAAATTTTGTATTTGTAAAATGTATAGAATGAATACACTTTCCAAATGTTATAAAATATTTCCATAAACAAAAACTTGTAAACTACCACTGTACAAAATCCTGGTTCCAAGTTTTATTTATTCGCCATAAGAATGACATGAGAATTCCCAATACACTAATACACAGTTTTTTATTTTATTTTATCGGTATTATGAATTGTGCAGTAAAACTTCAGTGTATTACATTATTTTTTCTGTTAGGTTTTACTTCAAAATTAGCGTGTTGGCGAACCTATATAAAAACGTATTAAAAAAATTAACAGTGTTTTTGACCTCTAGGGAAATCAAAATTACAAAGTAAAACGTTCTAGGTTTTATCGCACCACTTGCAGCAATAGCTTCTTCCCTTTACTGTAGATAAAACTCTTTAAGAAAGAAGCTCCAATTTTTATGAATGTTAAGGTCATCAGCTCACTGGAAACGGAAATCTTCACCACTCTGTATTTCGAATCGACCACTCTTTTATTTGTTAAATTCAAAGTAAAGTTTACTTATTCTGAACAATTTAAAATTGGGAAATCAAAACCACGTTGCCTGTTGACTTTAAAGGTAAACTTATCATCGGATGTGTCATTGTTTAAATGCTTTCTTTAATATTTTTTAGTATTAAAACCAATAGTTTAGTTAGACAGATTACCTAAAAGTGTGTTCTCAATAAGGTTTTAACACTATAAGTAATTGACTTTAATAGATCACCTAATTTAATATTTTATGTGAATAATACCGTGTTCATGGAAGTAACCAGCCAAACAGCAAGAAATTGTTTTAGGGGTCAAAATAAAGGAAAAATCAAGGATACTGTTTCAAAAGACGCTATATAACATCTGCCATGTTGTACACATTTTACAAAAAAATAATGTTATAAAAAGGATTAATTTCTGGTTAAAGAAGCGTTTCAGGAAGAAGACATTTAATGGATTCCTCTTTATTTTAGCCAATAAAACAATTTCCCAGAGTTTGGCTGTTTACTTACTGGACACCCTGTATACATGCTCTTTGTGTTTTAAGAAACAATAATAAATAATATTAATGTGTGTTTACAACTTATTTAACATATGTACAGTAATTCCATAGCTATTGCTATTGAATGGGATATTTTTAAAGGTTAAGAAAATCCTCCTGGGCGGAAATAATTCTTAGAAATTTTGAAACTTTTCAGAATGTATCATAACGACCTGATTTTCAACTCTCATTAAGGTATAGGATAGTTCATAACGAATCCTAAAACCAAAAAGGGCATGTAAATTAGGTTTAAGGATTACGATGAAAAGAAAGTACATCGAGATGAAAGTAGCCAAATTAACTTCGCTGCAAATAGTAACCATACAGATTGATACTCTGATTGGCAAATAATGGATCCGTTGGCCAATTAAGGGCAACCTGAACTTTAAATTAATTACCGGCCAAACTCCAACCGGAGTAATTGTTAAACCATGTTTTGTTTGCTCCTAACGGAGAGTAAGGAAATTTTCAAGAATACGTTTTCATATTGTGTGAACTTGTTGTATTGTACTACGGATTGTGCAATCTAGACTTTGGGAAACAAAGGTTGATTTTCTCGATGGATTGTAATAAATAAGTATGAATAACTCTATTTCATATATGAAAGGTAGTATAATAAAATAATTTAGTAATTGAAAAGGTTCAATAAGCCAACTCACAACCAACTGTCGTAATAATCAATGTCAATATGGTTGTGTGTTGTATCCATAAAAAGCCTTCTATGTCAATATCGTGTGTAGGTATCTTTTTAGAAATGTATTGGCTCAATGATTAGAAAATAGTTCACTTATTTTACTGTGTGCATTACAAACTTTAAATTTGTTGTTACACTTGCTAAATAAAATAAACACCTAGGAAAAATGTAACCATCGAACAAATCCAGAGTCCTATAGAAATACTGTTTGAAGTAACGGTTAGTAAAACAAACAGACATTTTCCTTGTATCGTCAGATAATACCCATGTCCTACATAGTGCAGTATCAAATGGCAAGGTTATGGAGAAGAGTCACCACAAACCGGTTACAGGCGCCAAATCTCGCTGGAGCCGATAATATTACAAGCTACCCACAGTCTATGGTAATATATGGACATCTAAATGCTTTGGATTACATTGGCATTTTTTTATGGTTGTTAAGTTTGTAGTTTTTCCATCTCTAGTTGCATTAAAATTAGAAAACTCTTTAAATGTGACACTTGAATTTTGCTTTTTTATGCCAATTTAGATTATACACATAACTTTTACAAAATTATTTGTATAAAAAAACTAAGATTGACATAGTATTATGTACCTACTATGATTGGCATATTAGTTCATAACAGCACATTTAATTTTGTGGAAAAATGTTGGTTGTAATTTTAACAAGACAGATTAGCTTCACTTTAGATTTTGTCAAATAAAATACCATTCAAAATAGTATATGGTAAATTAATGAACCAAAAACTGTACGGTTACAACCTTAACTAATTGTGTACATTTTGTATACACTGTTATTTTGCTTACACTTTATTTAAAATAAAAATCTGTTTTTATATAAAGGGTAACTGATCATCAGTCAGAGGTTCCAAGTCTAAAAATTGACTTCTCAAAGAATTATTACAATTTTGTTAAAATAGCTATGTTTTTAAACACAATACCGAGATTTCTTAATGACCTGCAAATAGATTTGAGTAGATTATGTAATTTTCGTGTCCTACGTTAAATTTAGAATAAGAATCATTGAAAATGTTAAAGGATCAATAATAAAAACTCAATTGTAAATCATTCCAAAGGTTAAAATTAAGATTTTTGATAAAAATTAAAAAATCATGATTCTATTGTATTTTTCTACACCCTGTATACAAGAAGGTAGCAAAATACGTTGAAAAATACGCCATTTTATTAGCTTTCCAACCACATGCTACACTACTGAGGTTTAGAGCTGCTTATGTTCTCTTTACGCCTCTTTCACACGACGCGGCGCGCGCCGTGCGGCGCCCGCCGGATCCGGCGTAGGGCTATGGGAGTATATGAGTCCCTTCACACTATGTCCGGCGCGCGCCGCGCGGCGAATTCGCCGCACGGCGCGCGAGTTACCGCCGGATGCACCTTGAGCCGGACGACAGCGCCGCGCGGCGTCCACGCCGGACCACTTGGTGAAGGTGCATTGGTTCTTATGGGAGCTTTCACACGGTGCGGCGCGCGCCGCACGGCCCAACCCCTACGCTGTCTCAATTTAGGCAAACAACCTGACCAAGAAGGTGCAACAGTTAATTAAGAAATTATATATCGTTGTATCGGAAAATAATATATTTAAAGCTATTACAAAACATATATTTTTATGTTCATCCCATGCAAATCGGTCTACTTAAAGTATTAAAACAAATTTTTTTCTTTAATAACTAGAGGAGAATATTTGGTATTAAGTTAATAATTTAGTAATTTATACGTAATGTAACATTTTTTTAACTTCTAGAATACAATATTTTCAGATATGACGAATACTTATATATAATACGTGAAGGCGATTTCTATAAAATACTACTCCTCTGTTAATAATGGACGGATTTTTACAAACGATGTGTCAAAATTAAGTATTTGTTGTGTACCCTTTCACCAATTCCTGTAGTAAAAGTCCTCGGGCTTTGCCCTCCGGCCATGAAAATCCCAATGTATATCTTATGAAGACAAGATTTTGTTTAGTTAAACCATAGACTAACCAACACAAGTAGACTTCTCATCCCATTGTTAATTTTGAAGCTCGTTTTTCATGTCTAGTTCATGTACGCCATACTGGGCGCTAGTGTAGACGAAATTTTGTTTCTATTATTTTAGGGGGAGTATTTTTTATCTATGGTTAAACAGACGAATAATTAGTATTAATTACAACTGTTCATAGTACACACATGATACACAGAGAGTTTTCGTTTTCAGTTTCGATAGATGGAGTGAGCGTTCGTTTTCAGAGTGAGTTCGTTTCCAGTTTCGATAACTGGAGTGGAGTGATTGGTTACATTATCTATGAGTTGACTCTTTTAAGTCGACGGAAATTGTGACAATTATTCGTAAAAAAACTACTTTAATATTTTGCAATTGCTCGAATTCGAGCAACAGGTGCACTAGTTTTTATATTTTAAATTAGCCTACAGTATTAATTTTATTTGAACTTTTAAGTGGAGTATTCATTTAAAAGCCACAACTGAACGGAAATTAAATTAGCCTACAGTATTCATTTTATTTGAACTTTTAAGTGGAGTATTAATTTAAAAGCCACAACTGAACAGAAAACAATAAATATTTAGGAGGGCCGTACGGCGCGCGCCGCACGAAACCATACTAGTGTGAAGACACACGCTTGTCCGGCGTAGCGCCACACGGCGGACGCCGCACGGCGCGCGCCGCTTCGTGTGAAAGAGGCGTTAGGGGTTTGACAAATAAAATAGTTCTTTGGGAAGCCAATTTTTAGACTTGGAACCTCTTGTATGCATCATCACACTCCGTTTACTTTATACTTACGCAAAAAAAATTTTAACACTGATGACTAGACACCCTGTATATTAGGCTATTTACAATACAGTAGTTAAAGTATTTTTATAAAATTTTTGCCAGCTATCCTGTACACTATTCAAATGTATTAATTTTCCCCTATACCGCGGGATACTCACCATGTCTGGACGAGACGACGAGGTTGCTGCGAGTGATAAGATATCTGAGGCGGAGGTGGCCGATCTAGTGGGAGGGGAGGCAGGACCTCTTGCGACATCTCAGCTGCATCTCTTCGTCCTTCCCAGGAATGCCGCTTGCCCAACATGAAGAGGTCCTCCGGTGTAGGCGGGCCTGAGAGGTCTTCACCTGACACGTGTGGAGCATGGAATATTCATTGTTTTTGGATCGTGAAATGGAAAACTATTAAGATTGATGTTTGCAAAAAGCCAGATCAATTACATATATTTTTGACATATAACTCGATGATCGTGGGTGTGACAGTCCAAAGGCGTATGCCAACATCGTACAATAAAATCAGTGCGAAAAGTGTATATAATTGATATTTGTGGTTTCGGCTTTTGTCAATAAGAACTTTCAAGATACACGTGTCCTTATGCCTAACTTTAATTTTCACAGGGGATTTCGGTAAAAACTTGGATCATCACAGGTGTGAGAGTTCATGATCAAAGTTTATCTGAAAAAAATACAAACTTTAATTAAGAGCTGTGTATTTAAACCACTCTGCTCCTTCACATTAGTAATGTTGCAATCCTACGACACCAAAATCCTATAACCAACAAGGTACATACTGTTTACAACAGTAGATCATGAAATATCATCATGAGTCATTTTTATCCGTTTTAGCGAATTTCCCATATATTGAATAAGCTATTACCGTAGGTCTCATGGTAAGACCTAGACCCGGGACCGATTTACTTTTTCTTTTTGAGGTCCCCAGAGGCCATAAACACCATCCGTTTAAATTCATATATATATATATATATATATATATATATATATATATATATATATATATGTGTGTGTGTGCGTGTGTGTGTGTGTGTGTGTCCGTTAGCGTGATAACTCGAGCAAAAATGATCCGATTTTGATGAAATTGGGTACAAACGTGTAAACCTACGTTTATTCGAACGAGTTCGCGAACCAGCATAATCGGACCATGGGAACAGGGGTTTATGGGGGGTTTTATGGGGTAAAAATGGGGTTTTCCCATTTTTTACCCTAAAAACAAAAAAAAATGTAATTTCTTTCTCAACCATTTTGTAGAGCTTAAAAAAAGAAACAATTTAGTATATTGAAGCGCTGTTGTATGCCTAACGGTCACGGGGAAAATTCAAAAAAGTGTAATTTAAAATTCCCATGTTATTCTTATGGAGAAAATGAAAACTGTTGTAATTTACTTGTTTATGGATATAATGTTGATAAAATTTGGCAAATTTATTTATTTCATCCTATACTATTGACATATGGTCATAAAACAATTTTACCTTCCCCGTAGCAGCAAACCTAAGCACTCGTTAAATCTAATGTTATTTTAATTAGAAATATATATGTCTTATTTATGGAAATATTGTAGTAAAAATGTAATCAGACAAGTTGAAATTCGCTTAGTCTGCAGGTTTGCTGCGGCGGGGGTATTATTGGTTGTGGGAGGTAAGCTAGGTGGTGTTAATAGATAAATTACGTTGGAAGCAAGGTCGATGACGCGAACATAAAGTAAAAGCAAAGGCGGTTCCGATAGTATAGTCAATAAATCTCCGAGTTGCTGAATGGTTCAGTTTCAGTTTCTTGCCCAGTTGCAGGTCAGTAGCCCCGTGCCCCGTGTTGTTTATTTCTGACAACAAGATTGCTCTTAGAACGGCGATGTTTATAGACCACTGTATCTTGGGGTAACAATGATGTCGTTTCGTTTCTTTGGCAATTCTTTGCATAATGCATCCGAGTTCAAACTCCCTTTATTAAAATAAACCTTTTCATACATTCTGTAAAATAACCACAATGTATTCCATAGCACATATGACGTTTAAAGAAAAACTTATTCGTATTCCAAATTGATACTTTGTATCTAAATAATTTGCTTATAAACATACTAGAATATTTAATTTATATTAGGGAATGGGTTAAGATATAGTACATCAAAGAGGCCTATACGATTTTTTCATAGAATTTGTAAACCATTGGCTGAAGCGATAGCTCTGAAATACGAGGAACCCCATTTAATCCTATTACACCGACTCTTGTCTGTTTTCTCCAAAGACGAGACATTTGTATAACTCAAGAGGTGTTTTTAAAGATTATAATGCATTTTTTGACATTGTCTATAAAAGTAGTTGACAATTCCTCTTATTTGTATTTGTTTGTCCTTTTATTTGCCAACCTTATTATGTTGCAAACAAAAGTAGGACTAACCTTCTTACGTCTTGTTTATGATGGATATAAAATACCTATAGGTAGCATACACTAGTGTGACATTAAAGCAAAACATCATCAGCTTTATACTATTGATGTGAAATATAGGATGTTGAAATTTTCAAATCATACCGATTTTGAAATAATAAACTGGTCAAACATATTTTGAAATTTACTTGTTTTTTAGAATGTTGGTTTAACCAAAGGTTAAAGAGTATACACTACTGTCTAATGTTTTTTTTTGTGTAGTTACACAACACATATGTATGATCCGATCAGTCCTATTCGCAGGAATAAAACTTGATATTTTTCCGTTGGTTTGGTCACCAATGTTTGCGGTTTTCATTTAATGACTCGGTGGAACGGTGGCTTTTTGTATGTTACATTGTGGTATTCGAACTTACGCACAGTGTCCTCCAAAAACTTGTACCATGACATATTTAATTTTGTATATCTATTTTCTTGGTATGGAAAATATAAAACACATGTCTTACAAAAGTTGAATTTATTAAACAAACATTTAAAAGTATTTTGACACCATCTTTTGATCAACACATCAAAAGTACAATTATTTCAAAACAATAATTAGGAAGTCTAAATAGTAAATAGTAAATAGTAGTTATGATATTTGGGGAGAGAAGTACCTTTCAAAAATTAATTTATCCATAACTAAACTTGTAAAATCCTCCAAGATTTACTTATTCTTTTAAACTATTAATTTCGTAAAAAAAACCCCCAGAGCACACATCGCTTTAAATTTAGTTAATTAAGAACAACAAATAAAAATGTTTTTTTAGGGAATTTTGCCCATGAGAACTTCAACCCTGTGAACATAAAATAAAACAAATTCTGTAAACTAAGTAAACTTAAAATTTTAATCTCTTTGACATTTTACGTATTACAGCCCAGACAGAATAAAACTCCTGAAAATGATTAGGACAATGAATTTATTTTAAAATTAAATTTATAGCAAAAGGAAAGTTAAAACAACTACTTTACCTCTGATTTGAGGGTGACGTGTAGACAATGAGACTTGTTGCAGCTTTGAACTAAGAATGATGAATTTATTTCCTACTGCACATGGGGCTGTGAGAAGGGGATACTCTCGCCAAAACTATTAACCAATCAAAACGCATGGATTGCCCTAATGACTCATCCCAGCAAAACTTAACATGATTTTTAAATTTGCTTGTTCTGACAAAATTCTGGCTAATTCCTGTAGTTTGCTCATCTGTCTTATGTATCTAATTTATATATTAAATTCTGTATGAATTTTTTAAAATTTACTAAATCATACTAAATATGGTACAAACTAGAGTGTTTAAATTAAAACGATATTCTAAATAGTTTTAATACGGTTTTTAGTTCTAATTCTGTAATATATTTTTGGTGCAGTATAAGTTTTAAATAAATTTTAAATGAAAAAAAGTATATATAAGGGTTGAAGCAAATTGAAAATGGAAAATGATTTTCATTTTCATTTATTCCAACGGCAAAATTGCCAATTTATACATGGACAATCAAAATATACATGATACGGTACTGTGCATCAAAATTACAAGCAAAGGCAAAGAACAATAATTTAACAATCAACAAAAGAAACAATAACAGATAAGTCAACGAGAAATGATGGGAGTACAAAGGCTTTCCGATAGTAAAGGCTGTTCAATGACTTTATTGCAAGTTGTCTCTGTTAAATGGTTTGTACAGTCACTCACACAGTAATGTTATGTGATGTAAAATGTAATATAATTTATATATTTCTTTCCAGTTATACTGTATTAATTAGCACGTGCGTCTTCTACAATAATAATGATTTGTTCTTTTATATTCATTCAAGGGTATAAAGTTGCACATTTTGACTCTTATTATCCACATTCTCCATATATTTCCTTTATAATTGAAGCCATATTTTTTCATACATGTACACATGCTATTTTTTACAGAGCTACCGACCACTTTGCTCCCATTTCATTTCTTGTTATAAGGGATTTCTCATTACCCATATGTCGTCATACAATATTTTTTATTTCAATTATTGCTCATTTGGATTGGTGTAAAAAAGCATAAAGATAACGTTTTTGAGATAGACAGGTGAATACGGACCGAAAATAATACTTTTCCACCGGTGATTCGAGCTTAATGTAAATCAGAAATATATTTAATCAATTAGTGTGTCGTAAAGGGGAATTATAGTTAGTCTGTGAATTGCATTAAATTAACTAAATTATTGATGCAAGCTTGTATTGGTTTCGACACCTAATTTTATAGGCTTTATTGACTCTGACCATGATCAAACGTATTCCGACGTTCGCTGGGACGCTGAACCTGTGCACCCTTCCAACGAGATTATCATCTATATCAATCATTGATATGGTTTTTTTTGGCCTGTTAAAAATGGTACTATTTGTTTGTATCCGTAAATCAAGAAATGCAGCGGTATTGCCACAGCTACGTCAAGAAAGTAGGCCTTCAAGAACATTATGATACAACTTTTGGAAAAGGTATTCAGTCTGACTGAACGTAAAGGCGGGGATTTCGTTTACGAGTGTCGCAACGGCCCACCACACAAATCAACTGCTGTACACACTTGGCAAATTGATGGCCGGCTTGTTATTTCAAGAAGCGTACTCCAGTGTGTGTGCGTAGGTGGGAGACGTTGGTCTCCTGTAAAGGTCACAAGACTTGCGAAGCGTCAGAATTAAATTACCTCTTCAGCACATATTGTTTCGAAACTGATTATTGACGATGAAACGGCAGGTTTCAACAATGCTTTTGAGCTTGGGTTCGTATTTGTTACCGAATCGA